AATTGTTTAGACTAGGATTGATTATGATTGTTGAAGTTTATACCCTGTAATTTGTTCTGGGAAGAGGAGGGGGGAGGTTGAGGTAGGGAAGGGGGGGGGAATATGTAAACTTTTTGTAAAAATTTTCAATAAAAAAAAAGATGCTCTGTATTATGTATGCTTGCTATTGTTCTTTTTCTGAGCAGAGAGCTACACCTTCTGAAAAGTGCTAATTCTAGATACCCATCATTTAATGAGGCCTAGAGACATTCTTGGAAATGGACTCTGGAAGCTGGTACTCCTAGTTTTTTACACCAGATTGCCTGGGTACACCAAAGCACCCCATGGATACCTTTCAGAATCAGAATAGAGCTGGAAGGATCCTTGGAGGTCTTCTAGTCCAGCCCCCTGCTCAAACAGGAGATCCTATGCCATTTCAGACCAGTGACTGTTCAGTCTCTTCTTAAAAACCTCTGGTGATGAAGCACCCACAACGTCTGAAGGCAAGCTGTTACACGGTTTAATTGTTCTCACTGTTAGGAAGTTTCTCCTTAATTCCAGATTGCTTCTCTCCTTGATTAGTTTCCATCCATTGTTTCTTGTCCTGCCCTCTGGTGCTTTGGAAAATAAATTGACCCCCCTCATCTTTATGGCAAGCTCTCAAATACTGGAATACTGCTATCATGTCCTTCCTAGTCCTTCTTTTCTCTATTTTAACTTTTGTGGCACACACATAAGACCCTGGCCTTAACATATTGTGTCATAATTGGAGCTGGAGGTTTCAGATCAAATGCTATAGGTCCGTGATGGCGAACCTATGGCACGCGTGCCACAGGTGGCACGTGGAGCCATATTGGTGGGCACATGAGTGTTGCCCTAGCTCAGCTCCAGCACTCATGCGTGCGCTGGCCAGCTGATTTTTGGCCCTTCTGGGCCCAACGGAAGTCGGCAAATGGGCTGTTTCCGGCCTCTGGAGGGCCTCCGGGGAGGTGGGAAGGCTGTTTTTGCCCTCCCCAGGCTCCTAGAAAGCCTCTGGAGCCTGAGGAGGGCAAAAAACAGACCTACCAGGCCCACTAGGCCATCACATGCCAAAAGCAGGGGGAGCATGGGGGGTCACACACACATGCATGCGGGGGGCAGGGTGCATAGAATTATGGGTGTGGGCACGCACATGTGCGACCACCCCGCACTCCTCCAGCTTTTGGCACACGATGGCAAAAAGGTTAGCCATCACTGCTATAGGTTCTCAGCTTAGTGATGTGGTTTCTTTGGTTTCATCTTTGTGTGATATGTGAATCTATTTTGTGATTTGTAAACTACAGTTCGAGTGAAGTAAGCCATAATACTTTATTCCACAGTGTGTAATCTGAAAACGTAGCCTGTGTTTCAAATAGGTTTTCTTGGGGCCCTCCAAGTGTCTCTGAACTGCAGTTCCCAGTATATCTTCCAATTGGCCATCTTGGCTGAAATTCCTGGGAATATAGTTTCCCGTTGTGATGTAGGTGATAAAGACATTTAAATAATGAGCAAAAGAGCTGAACAAGAAAGGGGCTGAGACTTGGTTAGTGCTACAGACCTTGCACAATACAATGGGATGTGCCGGGATTGCAAAAAGTAAAGCAAAGCTACCTCTTTGTTGCTGGCCTTTTTCACACTTGGCAATTTGATGCTGTTGGCTGAGTTTCTTGCCCAGAACAGTAAGCAGTTTTTTTCCCTGTTGCCTCCACCACCTATGTGCAGGCATTTTCCTCTACTGGCCAACATTCCTTCTTCCCCACTCAAGCCTAACTTGTTCTTGGGTTTGGTGCAAGAAATTCTTTTGTAACCGGTCTTAAAGGAGAGTGAGGAAACTGTTGGATTCCCTTTAAGAATCAATTTGCCAGTTAGGTAAACCTTTCAGATAGTTATTGCAGGCCTGGGAGGAGGATCACTAGGAGAGAGAATTAAAGATAAAAAAGAGAATAGCAGCTAGGAATTTGATCCTCTAAGTTAGCCCTCCTCCTCCTGCTGCTGCCTGAAGCTGAACTGCATCCAGCTGTCTGTGAGAAAACTCCCCATGTCTGCGGTTAGGACAACAGAGCCAAGAGGCAGCTGCAGACTTCCCCAGCACCCTTTTTTTTCTCCTCCGTCTGTAGCTCTCCTAAAGTTTTCTCAGGATCACGAGGGGGCAGAAACATGTTCAATTTTTCTTTTGCCAAAAAGATCATCGATGTTCCTACCGATTTATTACATTTATAAATATACATTTATATTTATATAACCTCCCATTTCAGATATAAGTCCAGACGGCACATACAATTAAAAGAACAAAAACGAAACTATCAAAACAAAAAGCCAAAATTGTTAAAATATAATTTGAAAGTTAAACATCTATAAATAGAACCAAAAAAAAAAAAAAAAACCCACGCGAGAGTGCATTTCAAAACCTATGAATCTTGTAACTATTTTGCAAGCTCTATACTTCCATAGGATCCCCAGGCTCAATGACAAAACCAGGTTTTAAGGACCTTCTGGGAGGGCAACAGTTTGGGGTCAATGTCATCTTGGGGTAAATGGCACCCACCCATTCTAAGGGTGGGTGCCATGGCAGAAAAGCTCTCCTCCTGGGTTCTGTCAGATGAAGCTCTTTAGTTTACAGTATCCACAACATGCCCCTCCTATCAGACCTGATGGGATGGGTGGAACTAACCAGGGAGAGACCGTCCCACAAATAACCTGGCACCCTGATATCTAGGGCTTTAGATGTCCTAACTGACACATTGAATTAAACCTTGAAAGTTTACATCTGGCCTTTCATCATTTAGATAAATTTAAACAACTTTAAAAATCAATAACATTTTTTAAAAAAAAGTTGAGATGCCACATGGCAAATTGCAATGTGGCTGTTGAATTTTGGTATAGCACGTTTTGTGAATTGAAACTTTATGGCCATGGCTTGCAACTATATGGCACATAAAGCCCCCCAGTTATGACTTGCTCAAAAAACTATATCCATGCCAATTATGGCCATCAGGTGACCTACATATATATTTAAAGGCCAGGTTCATACACCACACTAAACTGTGAAATGCTCTACAGACCTAACCCTCAGTAGATTATAGAGTATGCAAACTTTGACTTAGGCAAACTTTGACTTAGCATGATCTATGAATAAAGTCAAATACTGACCAACATGTTATAGGTTAAACTAGTTTTGCCAGATTTGGTACAGAAGGGCTTTGCTTGAGGGATGCAGGTCATTAATGAGAAGAGCTCCAATTAATTAAAGGGCCACTTCTAAACCAGTATAGCCAGCCCAGACAAGATGGTTAGGAACTGGTAGAAACCAGGACCTCCTGCTGCCACAGAACAACACTGATTCTGCATGGAAGGACAGGAATATGGCTCTGAAACACTCCTATAAAACTTGTAGTGGTAATTTACTTTACAACCAAGTGATTTTATGTACAGTATTGTATGCATGAACATGCTTATTGAAATACTGTACGACCCTTGTTAACTTTCCATTTCTAGAAAAGCTGGATACTGCCTGTTTAAGGACGGGAAAGGTAAAGAAATACCTGAAATTCCCTGTGTATTAGAAAATAAGCCTTATGAATTCCATGCCACTTGTTTTAGACACTTTATATTTCTTATCACTCTAATAATCAAACTTCATCTCGGTGATAACAGAACCATTTAACACTCCTTTTGCAAGCAACGTATAATCCAATGCTCAATTCTTAGAGTGAACTTCATATGCAACATACATTTAATTAAACCATGTAGTTCATAGAGCTGTAAGGTAATGAATCGCATGCAAACATGATATGAATAAGCATGGTCTGAAATAGAAAAGCAGGAAAAACTTATAGAAGTGTGAAACATCCAAATAAATTGTAATTCTGTGTGATTTGAAAGCTTTTGAGGAACAATTGGTTCTGAACTCTGGGAAGAGTCATCTCTCCCTTTTCTGACTGCCTGTGGACAGAGGTGCTTGTAGGCCATAACTGAGTGGTCAGGAGTTTCAAATCACCTGGATTTCCACATGATTATTAAGCCACAGCAGGAAGTTGGTTATTGCTTGGTGTCATGTGTCAGCTCAGCCATTGCACTCTGTAAACAGTGGTTATTAACTAATGTGTAAACCCAGCATATTCTGATTTATTCCAAATTATGAAAACATAGTTTATCATGATGCATGAATCAACCTGAAAGAATTTGAAGGCTGGGTTTTCAGAATATTGAATTATGGATTTAGTATGAAATGTTATTGGATCAAGATTTAGTTTTATGTTCCAAAGAAGAAAGTATTTGTAGCTCAGGGTTTGAAGTTCTTGGTGCTGAATTAGGTTTGGGTCCAATGATGTTACCTAGTCGAGTTATGAAACATCTGCAAGCAAACAACCAAGTCAAAGAGCACCCAGAACTCATTTTTATGTCTCGTTCCTGCCCTCTTTGAGCCAACAATCCAATTTAACTCAAAGGATTATTGTTGCAGGGGTTAAAATTAGTGAGAACAGGAGAAGCAACAGATGTTGTGATATTAAGCAAGAAACCCTTGAAAATGTAAAAATATTTCCTGAAATATTATTCTTGCAGCTGAAAGGATTAGAGAGAAATTCAGTATTTATTAGTATATCTTTAAAGAATCTTATCTATACTGTAAGCATTCCTTAAAAAATGTATCACTGTCTTCAATTTTTGAGCCTGTCAAAATGAATGTATGTGTTAGCATGGAAATCAGAAGAAATGCCCTCAGTTTGAACAGACAAGTTCAAGTCAAGCTGACCTCTGGTGGAGAACAGAAGGAATATCACACTTCTGCCAATGAAAATGTTTAAAGTGAAATAAATGATGCATTATACTGCATTTGTTTGAAAAATATTTACAGCAAACCCAAAACTTTGTAGTTTTGCACTTCTAGCACTGGAGTGAACCAGACTAAGAAAGAATGACATAACCTAAAGATGTCATATCAAGTCTCAGTCTACAATGAATAAGGCATCCTCCCCAGAATCTCACAAATACTAAATCTGAACTTGACAGAATAAAACTCTTTATTTTCCTATTAAAGTCTTTTACCATGCTCATTTATCATTTTAAAAACAATGTTTTCCTTTTCTTGTACAATGGTAACAAAACACTCATAAGTCTCCTTTTCAATACAAGTTTTCCTAAGCAGGAAATAAATTGAATGTAAATTTCCTACAGTGAACCGCTGAAACTGGAAGGCTGAATCACAAAATAAAGCTGGGAGAAATCTATATAAAACTAAAATCAATGTGGAAATCATTAAAGGTATAGCAATGCTTTTTGAATAAAGCTGCATTACTTTTTTAAATGGTTTTTCCATAGCCCCCTTACAGGTACATGGGTATGTGCATCTCCCTTTTCATCTTTCTAATGTCATCACTCAGTTCTCCAGATCAGGGGGAAAAAAGTTTCTATTGCAAATTTTTAATTTTTCCAACCGTTATTGTGTATAGTACTAGAGGATTCAATCAGCATTTGTGATTCCACGCCATGATTTATCACAATAGCTTGCAGGGAACCTTGACTGTATCCCCATGTACATACAGCAAATGCAGGAGACAACTTACATACATTAGTGTTCCTTGCAGCTGTATTATTCATTCCTTGTTGCAAGTAGACATTATCTATCTCTTAACACAAACACAACTCCTTTCTCGCACATACCCCACTATATGTGCAGCTGAGCCTTTCAGCTGTACACACTGGACCTGCTCTCTGTTCTGGATGGCATGGGGAAATAATCCAAGTTTCTTTTCAGATTATTTCTTAATAGTAAACAGTGCTATAAACCCTGCTACCATTCACAGATATCTCCTGCAACTGGTTCCAACGCAACAGAGCTGCAACACAGAAAGAAGAACCTGACCAATGGCTATGTGGCTGGACTGATTATTCCTATAATCAAATGAACCATAGTGATTCTGCTGGCTGCAAATCCTTTCTGAATAAAATTCAATTCCTCATGGCTTGTTGGGTCCATCAGGTGATACATTTAAGGCAGGTTTTGTGCTCTTATTGGATTGTTTCTGGGATCTTTGCTTCTTCGGAACTTCCCCAGCAGCTGCTACAGGTTTTTGGACTGGCTCCTCGGTATCCTCTTTTACCTTCTTTACTCTAGTTTTGCTTTTGACAGGGTTAGAGAACGTAAGGCAAGTTTTGCTGAATTCCAGGGGAAATATTCCCACATCTCCATCAAAGCGATTCTTGGAGATCTGTAAGTAGCGCCTGCCTGGTCCTGTTGTTAATTTCCTATCCTGCAGGATCAACACATTGTCAGCCTCCTGGCTGGCCTACAACAGAGAGAAAGAAAAATAACACTATGATTAGAACAGGGCAGACAGAAGGATCGATTGGGTGGATGACTAGGTATCTGTCTAATTCCTTGGAAAAACTTTTATCAAGAAGGATTTACCTTTGCAGATCCAAAAATGGAAGATGTTTGCAGCTCTCTGTCTTCATCTTCCTTCCGAGGGTGAATGATCAGTGTTACATGGCAGTTGTTGTCTGTAGCAAATTTTCGGAAGGTACCCACAATGTAGTCTTGGAGAGCAAGCCTAGACAGCAATAGGGCAGTATAAATAATACACTTTGCTGTAAAAGCTAGTGAATATCTGAAAAAATGTGTTTTTCTTTCTCGGTGAACAAATAGCGCTAAATTGACAAGAGGGTACAAAGCAGATATTTAACACACCCTGAAACATTATGGCATTAAAAGCTATGTCAATTTAGGTCAGAACAGGCATAATGATCCTGAGCAAATGTTTATCTATAAATAAGCAACTGGAAACAGGATTGTGGGATTTGCACATGCTCTTCTCATGGCTCTCAACGCAGCTTGCAAAACGTAGTGGACAGAGCAAAAGAAAAGGAACAATGTTATAAACCGTGATTCTATGCTAAGGAAACATGAAATGAGAGGATTACCTGTCTACACTGAGTTGCTCCTGGCCCATCATAAACTGGAGATTATCAATGACAACATGAGTAATATCATACATGTACACAGCATGGAGCATGGTATCAATTACTGTCCTGCATGAAAAAAATATTAAAGTTACACACATGTAGAGGTTAATTTACTCTGCCATTCCTACCTAGGGAGAGATCAGACCAAGTTCAAATAAGGAGTTTTTAAACATTTGCTGCAGATTAAAACATGCCCGCAGTCTCAATTAATTCAGAGTAACAAATGCATTTATAAAGTTAATGACTAAATAAACAATTATGGTAATTTCATTAATAGCAATCAACAAAGAATGGAGCTAAAGAACTTCTCTGAAACATTCATTTACACATTGCAATATACAATTTGTGTCCTACAGTAAAGAAAATCACATGATATTGCATATTTAAGGAGAACCAATTGCCTTAACTTAAAATAGTGTATAATTTGAGACCAGTCTCAATATTTGCTAGGCAAGGGGTGCTTTGTAACACTTTCCCTCAACCTGTGCTGGAATATCTCTGGATTTTCCCAGACTAACGTTATATAGAGCTAGTTAATGTAGTCTTATTTTGGCCTTACTTCTAAATATTGCAACATATTTTTTCAAGGATACTTATACAGTGGTACTTTGGTACTTGACTGCTTTGAAACTCATCAAATTTGGTACTCAATGAATTTGATGCGAAAATATTGTCCCAGTACTCATTGCTTGGTACTCAACATGCTGTGATAGGAAAAGGGGGATGGCTGCAGAGAATGGACAGAAAGTTGGCCATGCTGGGCAGGTCACTGACATAGGAAAAAGGAGAGACAGAAAGTCCTTCCAGGCTGAAAAACAAAGGGTCACACGGTAGTTTGCTTGGCTCTCGTTTTTAGTACTTGTTGAGCCTCCCAGAACCAATTAACAATACCGAGGTACCACTGAATTTCTTTCTGAATTATATCTATTTGCTGCTAATTAAACAGAACTAAGACTGTAAACTCAGCATTACCTTAATTATAGCACTGTTTCACTTCTACTCTCTCATAAAAAAGCAATAACCCATCAGAGGTGGTATTCAGCCGGTTCGGATCGGTAGCAGAAATCATGGGTGGCCCCGCCCACCTGCCCCAGCTCTATGCCATTCTATTTAGGTGCGTTTTTGAGGCCGGGCACATGCGCGGAAGGCGCACATGCCAGCAAAGCTCATGCACAGAAGGCCGGGCACTTGCATGGACGCATACACACTCACATTTGCAAACCGGTAGGGAAAGTAAGTGAATACCACCCCTATAACCCATGATATGCAAAGTAGAAAGTGCTACCCCAAATTTTACTTGATGTTCTGTTGTCCATAGAAGGTCATGAAATGAAGTGGAAGATCCTCAAACTTGTCTGCCCACTCATCGTATTTTTCCAGTTGCTCATCCAGTTTTTCCATGGCAAATTGAGTAAGCATGATCTTGGCCAAACGCACATTATGGATCTCAAAGCTCCCCCATAATGTATTAACCCCTTGCATGCAGAGATCCAGGGCATATTCACTTATGAAAGTGGTCTTCCCACTGCCTGTTGGACCTGATCCAGAAAGACAAAGGCACAATTAGTAAGAAAAGCAGTTTGATCCAACTTATGTAGAATCTGGTTTCACCTCAAACAAACTGACATGCCCTTTCCTTTGATGGGTAGCTACATTGGCTACTCTGTAGGTTCTCTGTGGATAAGAAATGCAAATGGAGAACTATGTCACAACATAATATTTTCCCCATTGATTGTAACATCCCACTTACCCATTATAATAGTACTTCTAAATCAGGGATGTCAAACTGAGGTGTTTTCGCTGGCAGAGGGTTGCAGGAGGTTGTCGCAGCCGAAAACGGAGCTCGGGAACCCGTTTTCACTGGCAGAGCACAGGCACCCCTGACACAAGTGACATCAAGCTGGCCATGCCACCCCCCGGCACCCACGAGGTCAAACAACCCTGATGCAGCCCTCAATGAAATCGAGTTTGACACCCCTGTTCTAGATGGTTTGACCACTATTTAATAATGTAATAAAAATCATGCTTGGAGACAAATATCAAATCTCCCATAGACACTTCTGCTGAACAGTGCATACAGAATCACAGTATTGCAGTAAGTCAGAATTTCATTTACTTTCATCTTCATTTTTGCCAGAATTGGAAACATGCACAATTTAACTTAAGAAAATGCAGCACAGAAAATAAGTTAAGTTTCTTTTAGACATCTCCAATACCTCTTCCCTTTTCTTTCTAGTAATCATCACTTTTATTAAGTAAATTGTGCTTCTCCAGACAAAAATTTCGTATGGAAGCAGAAAATCATGAGAAGCTTGTGGGAAATCATAAGCTGTCTGACAAGTAAGCCAAAATCTGACAAACAGCTCAAGAATATTGTAGAAAATATTTTAATGATTACATATGCTGGTGGAGAAAGGATGAAAGGGAAACAGCAATATATTGCTGCCTTATTTATAAAAATAATAAAAGCAGGATATAAATAAATACATAAATAAAATATACACTCACCTGTGAAAACAGTGAGTTCTCCTTTGCGGTGGCCTTTGAGAAGTTTGCTTAGTTCTGGGAAACGAGCCCATTTGACTCCAGCTACCTGATCTACATTGACCAGCTCCCCATACACCTCTTCCCGCAGTTGACAAAACGAAATTATAGATTTGTGGCCAGCTGGCAAAGCTGAGCGTAGAATCTTGGTAAGGTTCATACCACTGCTAAAAGCCTCTAAAGGTCGAAGCTGCTGGTCACTAGGTCGCACCAAATAACAACGCTTAGGATTCAGCTTACGTGCAAAATGTTTAGCAGATTCCCAGGACCGGAGATCCTCTCCTAACCATAAAGTGATCCTTTTAAATTGTTCTAAGTAGGGAAGTAAGGCTGGGGGAAGACAAGAAATCCCACGAGGCAAAGCCAAGGTGGGCAAACCAGTCACTTGATGCAGCACCAGAGCATCCAACTCTCGGCCAGTCAACACCACTTCTGTATCACGCCGACTGATCAGAGGCAAGCCAAAGAGATTGTGATAGGCATTGGGACGAGGCAACATATTCTCCACATGGTGTACTTTGTCTCCTTGATGGTCAACTCTGAGGAGCTTCAATCCCTTCAAGCTGGTGCCAGAAGGACTGAACCATGGGAAGACCAATGCTTGAGCAGTCCGAAGAAAACGCACCCCAAAGTGTTTGAGAGTGGTATTCGACACGCTGGAAATGCCAAATGTAGCCTTGACTTCTTTTGTCTCCTGTTCATCCAGCAATTGCCAGAGAGGCAAGGCTCGGTCCCATATGTGTCTAGCATCCTTTCCAGTTTGGTCATTTTGCTCATTAATACTGTGTCTGTCGCTTAACGTCAGTCCTTTATCCTGCAGCTCTACGTTGGCCTGGAAGTCTTGCCAATTACCTTCTACCAGGGTGGCCGTGCAGATAAACTGGCCCGTAGTCTTATCAATAAAGAGGCTGTAACTATGGCGGTGCTGCTGTTTATCCCCCACAAAAACACTGGGCACATGAATGCAACTGTAGCCATCGTGAAAGGGGATTTTCTGCGCTTTGAGGTACTGCCGGATCTCTGTGACCGAGGCAGGAGGAATCGGGTCCTGCACCGGTGGAAGCTTTTCCTGCTTGTAGTGCTTACAAGGAGAGCTTCCAAAAAGCACCCATTTACCTGGAAGGCGCCGGGGACGCAAAAGGAGCCGTGACGTCACCGAAAACATTTTTTTCCTACGTCTGGGACCCCCGTCCTCTCAGCAGCCTCATAGGTCGGGACCTCCTCGCTCTACGACCCTGCAGTGCCGTCTCTTAAATGCCCGAACTGCCCCGCGGGAAGCGCCTTTTCTTCTCCTGCAGAAAAGCTTCCCACCCTCCGAGAAGCCTTTCTGATATCGCAAGACCCTCCTATGCCGCTGCCCTCCTTCCAGTTTGCGGTGCATTTGCGATGCAACCCCCCATCCCGGTTCCCGCCGCTCTCCGGCCAAGGCTGTCTACAAAACCTCCCCTCCGTCCAGAGCCTGACCGCACAGCTCGGCCCCCGCATCAGGGCAGCGGCTGCCCACGTGCAGCTGCAGAAAGCGCGCCACGACCTTCCTTTAAAACCATCGCTTCCGAGAGCGGCTGCGGGGGAGGGACGGGAACCACCCCGGAAACTAACTTGGCGGAACATACGGATTTCCCTCCATAGAGATATAAAATAAATAAAATAAAACTAATATACACCCTTCCTTCTCGTCTCGTTGCCTTTCAGGCCCAAATTGCAGAAATTCGAGGGCGGCAACCAAGAGTGAGAGCTGCTGGTATCTGGGCCATTTTTGCAGCCGTGCATGCAAACCCTTCCTGGCGATTCCTGTTGGTGCATCGCACAAACTGGGTCTACATTGCAAATTTTAAATAGATGATTAAATAGACCCAATGATTTACCGCCCCCCCCCCTCTCTCTCTTGCGAGAATAAACCGGAGGCAACAGGCCAGGCAACAACTCCTGCGACGGAAAAGCCTGGAATAATATCTCTACATTTCTTTGCGAGTTCTTATCTTGCAGAAAAAGGGGGAGGCGGCTTTAAAAGCCATTGCCATTCCATGGGCGCAGAGAGACTGTACGCTAGAGCGGCGCCGATTCCGTGTTGCTTCCTGCTTCACTTCCTGTTCCGCTTCTGAGTTTCCGGTACGCGTCGCGTCGCCAACGACGATGACCGGCCGGGGGACCTCGAGCCGCTTCTTGGCCAGCGTCCTGCGGAACGGCGTGGGCCGCTACGTGTGTCAGCTGCAGCGCATCACCCTGACGGTCAGCCAGCACATGTCCAACTCGCTGGGCGCCAGGTGGGGAGAGAGAGGCGTTGCAGCAGGCGGGCCCGTCGTGTCTCTGCAAGCTTTGGAGCCGTCCGAATTCATGGTTAAGCAGCTCAGGTGTTAAGTGAGACAAGAAAGAGGATTAGGGCAGGGGTGGGCAAATGTGGTCCTTTTACAACTGTCTCAGGAATTCTGGGAGTTGAAGTCCACAAGTTGTAAAAGGACCACATTTGCCCACCCCTGGATTAGGGAACTGGGGGCTAAAATATGAAGGACGGTTGCAGGACTTGGGTATGTCTAATCTAGTGAAAAGAAGGACCAGGGGAGACATGGCAGCAGGGTTCCAATATTTGAGCGGCTGCCACAAAGGAGAGGGGGGTCAACCTATTTTCCAAAGCAACAGAAGACAGAACAAGAAGCCATGGATGGAAACTAATCAAGGAGAAAAGCAACCAAGAACTAAGGAGAAATTTCCTGACAGTGAGAACAATTAATCAGTGGAACGATTTGCCTCCAGAACTTGTGGGTACTCCAACATTGGAGGTTTTATAAGAAGAGATTGGACAACCATTTGACTGGAATGGTATAGGGTTTCTTCCCTGAGCAGGGGGTTGGACTAGAAAACCTCCAAGGTCCCTTCCAACTCTGTTATTTGTTTCCTCCTTCCCAATGTTTGACATTTACTCCTAGATTCTTAGGAACAAGAAGGGGAATTTGGCCTCCCTTTTGTGCCACAATGGCTGAGCCATGACTCCAGTTAATTGTATATGGATTTCACTTGTATTGCAGCTCTTGCTTTTCTCCCTCCCTATTTTTGATTTAGGGAATAATGGTGGCTAAGACGCTGAGCTTGTTGATCGAAAAATCAGTAGTTCAGCAGTTTGAATCCCTAGTGCCACATAATGAGGTGAGCTCCCGTTACTTGTCCCAGCTTCTGCCAACCTAGCAGTTCGAAAGCACGTAAAAAATGCAAGTAGAAAAATAGGGACCACCTTTGGTGGGAAGATAACAGCGTTCCGTGCGCCTTTGGCATTTAGTCATGCCGGTCACATGACCACGGAGACGTCTTCAGACAGCACTGGCTCTTCGGCTTTGAAACGGAGATGAGCACTGCCCCATAGGGTCGGGAACGACTAGCACATATGTGTGAGGGGAACCTTTATCTTTACCCTATTTTTTATTTAATATTACCATCCAAAGTAATCCCTTTGATCCCAAGGATGTAATAGAACCAGGCAATATTGCTATATTCTGTTCTTCATTTGACCCAATCTAAACTATTTTCAGACAGCAATTAAAAGTACTTTCTGTAAAGGCAGGATTGAACAATTGTAGTTAGAATTCACAAATAAAGGCTAGACAGTTTAATATTCAGTAGATTATTTGCAGTGTTAAGGTTTGTGGAATGCTTACTTCAAACCCTGGTACATGTTTAACAAATAAAGGTATTTATATAATTTCATTCATTTGTACTGTAATAGCATGAGATGCATAATATCACTTGGGTCTCCCTCCTTGGCATCATTGAATGCAAAACATTTGGAAATGCTTACTTCCACCTATTTTGGAAAAGAAGTGCTGGACTTGGACTTTTGTCCTAAGGGGATTCCCCAATCAAAATAATTTTATAGAAAAGTTCTGTGTCCAAGTACACTTCATTCCTTCAGCAGTGTAATCCCTCACTTGATTTAAGTATATTTTTTAAAACACCTCAATGCAGATATTTTTTGTCTGGTTGTAGAGAATATGTTGAAGAAAAGATAGTGGATTTTGCAAGGCAGAACCCTGGGATTGTGGTTTATGTAAACCCAAAGAACTGCAGGATCCCCACATTGGTTGCTGAATTCTGTGAGTATGGAATGTAATACTGAATAAAACCAAATAGAGAATAATCTGTTTTTTACTGCCATTAACCAAGAAATCTGCTCTTAAGACTTAATTAGGAGATGTGCTCAGCTCCCTCTTAAAACATAGGATTGTTTTCTATTTAACCAAACCTTTTCAGTTGGCGTGATCTAATTGTTTCAGTGAAAATGTGAGTGTTATGTTAAACCAGTATGAACAGAAAGGTTGTAAATATGGAAAACAAAATGAATAAATCACTCACATGGGTGTTCTTTTAATAAGATTATGTAAGCACAGAGACCTTCATTTTCTTGCAAAACAGCAATAAAACTTGACTTCTATCTATAACTATATTCTATCTAAAACTATCCCCATTATGACAGTCCCCAGATGTATTGAGATTGGAGCTTCTAGTATTCTAAGGCAGCAGGTCTTTTGACCCTGCAAGGAAAAATATTGCAAGCTGCAGTCTCATAGCATCTTGATAGAATAATTAAGTAGAAATGACTATATCTTCATTGGAAATCCTGAACAAGCTAGTTTACATCATTAAAACATAAAATTACAGAGATTGGGGAATTGGAAGCCCAAGCTATCCAGACAATTGTGTCTTCTAAAATGGAACAAGTTTTTAAACAAATTTTCTTTCTAGTGAATGGAACTGTGAAGGAGGAGCCTTTAACCAGCAAGACTGCAGAAGAGATTGCAGATATCATCCAAAAGATGGCCAACCAGTCTGGCCTAGAAATCATTCGTATCCGAAAACCTTTCCATACAGATAACCCTAGTATCCAAGGCCAGTGGCATCCTTTCACAAATAAGCCCAGCATGCTGAATGTGCAAACCATAGGAGCCAGACTCCAGTCACTGGAAAAATAAAGCTATGCTGTATACCCTGTGACATTTATGAGTGTGACATCTCCTGCACAGAGGAAATCTTTATTTGCTTCCTTCCTTACCTAAGAAAGTGAGTACTGAAGGGAAATGACTGACTTGTGGTTGCAAACTGAACTATTTCTAAGTAAATTCTACTATTGGGTGGTTGTAGGCCTGCATGGTTATGCTAGTAGCCTTCTTCCCATTGTACTTTGCAGTTTAATTCTTACTGAAAATAAAGGATGAAACCTAATTTTCTCTGGCTCGTCATTTCTTTAGACCAGATGTGGGAAGCTTGCAGTCTTTCCTCCCTACATAACTATTAGTTTTAAAATACAGAGAGGCTTTTTGTAAGGAGTTCATGGTTCCAAAGAAGGAAATCATCCTGTTTTGATCACTCTTTTCCGGCTTTCTCAGATTGCAGCATGTTTTTTATTAATTCCGGTTAACAGACCAACTGTGTCCTTTCCTTAAAAAAAGTGACTGTAGTATATACACCAGTAACTCCTAGGCTTGATTTATATAACACTATACATAGGGCCTGCTTTTTGCATGATTTAGAAAATAGTACCCAAAGCCTGGAAAATCTGAAAAGATTCAAAGAATATCTAGGCTAAAAGTTTTGCACCGACAATTTGTTTCCAGGTGAAATACACAATGCTGCTTAGTATTTTTAAAATCAAGTATAATTTGGACTAGGCTATTTGAAAGAAGGCTTGTGCAAAACATTTTGTACAGAAGCCTAAATAGACTTCACATGGGAAGAGAAGGGGTCATTGCTAGATAAGTTTATATATGTACAGTATATCCCGTATTTTTAGAAATAACTAAAAGTGATGAACATAACGTTTTTCCTCCTATTTTCCCCAAAAACAACCCTGTGAAGTGGGTTGGGCTGAGAGAATGACTAGCCCAAAGTCACCCAGCTGACTTTCAGAGCTAAAGTGAAACTGAACTTACATATTTGTGAGAGTTCAATATACACTTGCTTCAATATACTGTATATCTTGACATGGTTGCAATTTATCTCCAATTTGAGCATAATATTCAGCTGGTGAAACAAATTTGTATTTTATATTGGCCTCAGTCTATTCAGATTATAGAATGAATTTTCAATAGAAAATTTGTCTTTTACGAAATTCCTCATTTTTAATATATGTTTACTAAGGAAAATGTCAGTCAATATTATTTGTTTTTTTCTCCTGAAAGGCTACCATGTATTATCAAATCTAAATTAGCAGTTAAAACCTTTTTATTAAGAAGTTTAAAAAGTATCAGTGCGATTACAGAAACATGAAATGTACAGACTCATATTTGATACATCTTTTAGATGCCAGATAACCCATCATTTCTACCAGATCAAGTAATGGTCTGCTGTTGGCATAAAATTATTCACTAATGAGCAGGACTGTGAATAATTCCAAAAGGATTTCTTGAAATGCTTAGTTGAGTATATGCAGATCCCCTTTTTTTTATAAGGGGACGAAAATTCCTCACTATCAACAGAGAATCTGAGTAGATTGTGAAGTGGATGGAGGTTGGAAGGGGGTGAACTTAAGGCTGCAGATAGAAGAATGAAAAAGCAATGGGGGGATCAGTAGGGTATATTAAAGACAACAAAATGCCAATATGCTTATGGTAAATCTATGACATAGTACTTTAGAATGCAATACAGAGTTCGGTGGGCTCATTTTGAAAGGATTATTGTCAATTTGAAAGAAGTACTTTCAAAGTTCTTGAAGAGAAGAATTCAGCTCATACAGAAAGGAAAAAAGAGGAAAGGAGGTATTTTTATTTTTTGTAAAAGAAAGGTAGCAATACTTCCTGGTTAAGTTGCAGGATGGTAACATATCATCCATTGTAGCTGCAACAGAAGTGAAAACATTTTGAATCTTGCCATTTCTCCATCATGGAAACTACACTCAAAAGAGAGCAACTTTTGCTGTCAGTGTTTTGGATATGCTGAGATCTTTAGGCTGATTGTTAAGATTTCATTCAGATGGTCTTTGACAAAGTTGCAGTACAAAAATATCTTTGAATGTCCTTTAGCTGTACACATTATCATTAACATAACAG